GACAGTGTTGTCAGCTTTATGACTTCTTGATAAGGTGGACTCCAGCCTGACACTGACTTTGACTCAAACTGACTCGCACTGGAATCTCAGAGAAGATGAGTATGACTCAAAATCCCTCCCAAATCTGGCATGCTACAGAGAATTAAACTAGAAGTAGCACGTTAAACCATGGTGTAAGCATGTTATGAATTACTCACAAAAGCCTCAAGTTTACAATCCACCCAAAAAAAAAACTATTTACTCAGCGTTGCCACCCAATGGTATCAGGACTTTTGCCCGTCAAACTAAAAGTTTCCTGCTGTGTGCTATATTTTAAACTAGTGAGATCTGGAACCTCTCTTGAATGGAGTATTCGAAACAGATAAAAATACCTCAGCCAAGACCAATACCTGGGAGATGTCAAAGCATGCCATAGACAAAACTGTAGACCTTCATGAGGCATGGATAACAGACCAACAAGCAACTTGGTGAAAGGGTTGGCGAGAGTTCATATTTGCACAATAAAAACAAGGAAGACAATGTCAATCTCTCATTACATCTTGAATATGATTGTGAATTAAAGATTGTGAAAACGGTAAATTACCTGTATAGAACAAATAGGAAAATTTTGGAAATAACTTAAAGGCAGCTGGGCTTGTAGTCATCAAGAAAACAATTGGAACACTTAATGCCTTGAAGTACTGAAATATTGAAGTCCCCGACTCAAGAAAGTACATGTATTCAGTACATGTACATGCCTCAGGGGAGAATTACTTGAAATTTCCTGTGGCTCAGTCAGTAGAGCATTGTGCTAACAATGCAAAGGTTGAGGGTAAGCAAAAACTTATGAAATGATTGTTTCCAATGTTTAGGATAAAACATCCACCAAATGCATACATGTAAATTTTGATTGTTGTGGTTCGTTTCAACCAAAATCAAGCACTTTGGAATCATCATAGCTCACAGCATATGGAGGGGGAAGAATGATCCCAGTGATCCCAAAAATGTCATCCCCACCATCAAACATGTGTCTCCTGAGTTGTGTGCAAACCTGGTGGCAATCTACAAGAAACAGCTGTTCTAAGTCACGTTTTGTGAAGGCAACAAAACAGAACACATGAAACTGGAGTGTGAAGGGGTGGCATTAATGGACCAATTCCACATTTGAAATGTTGGTTTGGTCATTCTAAAATTCCTTAGCCAAAGTCTATGGTTTGGGATTATCACCTCCCAAAATGGTCTTGACCGGCTGCCTTCTCAAAGAGCAGAACTCAGAACCAAAATAGAAGATGGAGTTGGAGTGTTTTATGGGTCAAATAATGATGAGAACAGCCCTTTGTGATACCATAGATATTAAGGTTAAAACTCTCTCCGGAACATTCTCATATACTGTGGTGGATTTACTTTGCAAGGGTGATTTGAAAAGTTGAACCGGGCACAACTTAATTGTAAACTCTTCTTTTTTGAGAGCACTGGAATCAATGAAAGTCCTTGTGATCCTTCTTAATTCTGGGAAAATGGAGTGAACACTTTCCTGAAAAATTGCTTGTTTTCCTATACATGTACGCTTTAAATAAAAGGACCTGCAATATGCATAGTAAACAAGTCACCAACAACAACAAAAGTTACCAACTTCTGAGGCATTTCTCAATGAAGTGATTTTAAGATGTGACTTACAAATTATTGGATTCAATTATTTTTAAACCCTACGGAAGGCAGGCATTGATTTTTTTAATAAACCAAACTATGTAAATCGACACATATCTATTGTAAATGGCAGTTTATTATTGTAGCAGAATGATACTGTATTAACTCTGTGTGGTTTAATTCCTAAAAGATACAAATGAAAAAGTGTAATGTTTTAAAACTATTTAAAAACAAATTGTATGTACTTTAAAATTTATATGTATTGTATGAAATGCGTTTTGCGTTCAGTTCAGACAAATTTGCCTCTTTGTGTGTACAGTCAGTCATCGACGTGGTGGTACTTTACAGGGACATTATTGTCCCTGTGTACCTTAAATAGAAAAAGTACAATATGCCCTTCACAGTACATATCAGATCCTTAAAAGTACATACTATTAAAAGTACAAATCAGTACAAAATATAAAGATAAAAATTTGTTTCTGATTATGAAGGTACATTTCTGTTCCCTCACAAGGAATATGTTTTTATATGTAAGATAACTTTCTCAAAGTACAAACATTGCATTCAAAAGTTTTGTTCAAAGAGAAAATCAAAGAGTAGAACAATAACCATGTAAAAGAAAGGAATAAAAGAAGACGACTCACTTGTTGGCTGTTTGGAGGAGGCTTTGACTCAACTCAAGCGCTCAACCCAGCTCACCTTCATCTGACACACACAATCGTCACACTGTCTGAACCTGTCGTCTCTCAAGCAAGCAAATACCTCTCTCTCTCTCTCTCTCTCTCTCTCTCTGTCACAAACAGGGTTTCTATTTCATTCAATTAACTAACAAAAAAACATATGAAATGTAAGTAAATTTAACCTAAATACCAGACTTAAAACCTGTAAGGGTTTAAACCAAGAAGCTGACTCACCGTGAAATTCACCGTGGCACTCTTAAAATGTTTCAGGTGTTATTCAGCAGGTTAGAACATAATGCATGCTCATTTACATTTCCAAAAGGAACAATAATCCACTTAAGACTCAACACAATGTTCCCCATTATACTTGCTATTTATGTTTTCCTCCACCCCAAAATGATGCTAGGATGAATAAAAATACACAAAATCAAAGAGTTTGTTCAGTCCTTGCCAGGAAGCATTATGTGTGACATTTGAGAGAGTTCTTGAGAGTTCAAGAAGTGCTTGTGGATGTGAATATTTTCATGCCGTTCTGTAGGAATGGATGGTTAGTTGAATGAGGAAAACACAAAGACTTCAAGTATTTGGGTTAATTTTTTTCTTATACTTCACACCTATGCTACGCCTATACTTCTAGAGACAAAACAGATGCCTTTTGAATAATTTGTCACTGTGGATAAAGCAATGATGTAAAGACAACGTAATACAACTTAACAACTAATATTTACAAAAGACAAATAGGACAAAGATAGATCAAATACATATAAACAACTGTTGAAAGCTAGGGTCAGTGTCAGTTTCTAGAGATGGAGAGTAAGTTCTGTACACCGTTTTCTTTCTGATACAGTGGTACCCCGAGATATGAATGCTTCAAGTTACGAAATGTTCGAGATACGAAAGGTCTCGCAGGAATGTTTTTGCTTCGAGATGCGAAGCGTTCAGTGGTATGCCGAGATACAAAATTAATGCGATCCAGGGTGATGTTCAGATCTCGATCATTCCATATCTCGAAGCAAGTTTTACATGTAAAACGCCTAATCCGTGCAACGGCTCTCAGAAACAACTGTATAAGTTGATAAAAACAGAAAAAAACAGAGAAAAATCAAATAACGTTTTTTCAATCCTTAAATCTTCACATTTTTAATGTAATAAATGATAATAAAACTGAATAAAACACAGGCAAAATACATAATATGTACACAAATGTGAAAGAGATGTGTCGGAGGAGGTGGAACGGATGGCAGAAAATATTACGGCACCACGTATGAAAGTTTACAAATTCACAAATTACTAACACCAATACGGTTTCAAGCACTAGCGGAGACAGATGGAGAGACGCTTCTGAGACAGGGCTTCTCTAACTAGCTCTACAGAACAGCACTTTCCACATTAAAAACGTTGTTTCTTTTGCGACACCTTGACTCTAACATTTGTTATACGCTTATTTATAAAAATCACCAATGAATCACAAAAGAAGGACAGATATCAGCAAAAGACGTTATGTCATGTCACTTGCCTTGGTAGATCCACATAACATGACCATCTGGCAACCTGTAGTATGGTGGGAGGGGCAACTGCTCTACACTGTTTTGTTTTGGCTTCAAACTTAAATTCTTCTCTAATTTTACTTTTAAAATACAAAATTAAACAGAATTTCTACCTCTGTTTTTCCTTAAAACTGCCCATACCTCACTTCTTCTCTGCTTGCAACTCTTTGTCCTCTAACTGGGCATTCTCTTCACTGTTTTTTGAATGGATATTCACAAACCTAAATAAAGATTTAATAAGTATTACAAACATAATCAATTGTGATGATGAATGTAGATGCAGATTTAAAAAATGTCTGCGTCTGGAAAACCAACTATGGAGCGTTGAGGACATTGAGACGGAGAACCAGCTGTTTCCCAGGTGTGTTTGACCTTGTGTGTGCATGTACGAGAGGGGGATGAATGCTTCAGTAAGTCTGAATCATAAAGAGGGAGTTTACTGTCTGCTTATTCACTCTTGTGGTTTCTGACAATCCTAAACTATATGTATAACTATACGTTACCTACATAATTCGTAAACCAATATTTTTAGTTCATTTAATAGCTCAACTGCCGGATTACTGTATTTAGTCAATTTTTTGTTTTTAATTAACTGTTGGGTTATTTCTGTAACCAAACTGCTTGGGTAAAAATAATTAGGTCAATCACAGATGACCAAGTGTTAGGATTTTGTAGGTTATTCCATCTTGTTTGTTTTTCATGAGTGAGCAATTGGTGACTGGAAATTGTTCTCTGCAAATGGATGCCGCCAATAAAAACAATGGCTTGGTTAAACAAATCGCTTTTTGTAGTTTAAGTTAGACCAGTTGCAAATAAGACATGCATGCTAAAATGTTAGAAAATAAAGCTTAGATCTGAGACTCTGAATCATGTTGTCAGTCAGGTTACAGAATTATATAATAATAATGATAATGAAAAGAAAAAGTGAAAGTGACGTTACGACCAAGTATGGAGTGACCCATACAAGGAATTTGTGCTCTGCATTTAACCCATCCAAGTGCACACACACACCGTGAACACACACCGGGAGCAGTGGGCAGCCATGGCTGCGGCGCCCGGGGAGCTGTGGGTAACTGGTGACTTGCTCAAGGTCACCACAGTCATGGTTGTCTCAGAAGGGTTTCAACACTCATCCCATCTTCGACTCCTAGTGGAGCTGGGGATCGAACCAGCGACCTTTTGATCTCCAGTCAATCACCCTATCCACTAGGCCTTTATATATATATATATATATATATATATAGCGCTTTTCCAGACACTCAAAGATGCTTTATTATTCTTAGAGCATTATTCATCCACACACTGGAGGTGACAAGGTTGCCACTTCATGCCTATGGCTTCTTTCAGAATTACCAGTGTGACAAGACCACCGACCGTAAAAAATATTATAATACAGGCCTCATGTTTCTGATAAAAGTCCTTACAATCACAAATTGGTGTGAAGCTGTGAAGATGCAAGAGTAGGTGAAAGTTTAAGGATTAATATAAACTACATATCCACTTGGCCGGTTGTCATGACAGTCAAAGGTTATTCTAAGTATTAAAACCCTGTTTGTAACAGGATTTAAATGTTTTTTTTTCTACTGTATAGATTCCCATTGACAGTCATGTTCAGACAACAGCCTTAAGCGACCACTTCCTTTATAGCTGCTGCATTTGCTTCCTAGAAACACATTTAGAGGGAAAGGAGTGGGGTAGGTTCTCATGCAAAACCACTTTGTCCTCAAGCCAGCAAATAGTTTTTGTAATCGAATGTTTCTGAGTCTAATCTAACATGAGCTGGTTTCAACCATGCCAATTTTCCTCTTTATATCCACCATTTTTTAAAGCTATAGAGGCAACCTAATTAGGTCATATGATCATGATGGGAGCCATTAAGTAGTAAAACATGAGCTGAGTGGATACTAGTGGTTTAGAGAGAATTACAAATAAATAAAATATAGCAGATTTGTTAGAAAAAAAACCCCAAAGAAGTGCATGATTTGGTTTCACTTTTTTATTTAGGGAGCTCTTTGAATAATCTGAATTATCATTCATCATAACCACGTGTAGTAACTATTTTTCGGTTTGATGAAATACTTGTTTAAATACTGGGTGCTTAATGGCTAAAGTAAACAATGAGCCTTGCAGCTCAACAGTAGAAGCTCAAAATGAATCTATACAGAGACTTTACATGTTCCATCACCTTAAAAAAAGATAATCGAAAACCTAAAACTGAGAAATACACAACTTTAAACGATAAAAAATCTGAGGATCGAATACGCACACTATACTGTGTGTTTTTGTACATATATTTTACAGTGTCGATTTTTAAACCTGTACATAAGCGAGCGAATACCGGACACCTATACATACAGTCCATTCAGCTAATACTTTACACATTTATACAGATCAAACAATCCATTAAACTATGCTTATATCACTTCTCTGCTATCTACATCTCTAAAATGTGAGGCAGGAGCAGAACTCAAAATGTTCTCACATTCTTTAAATATTTTCACAGTTGTCAAGTGACATTATCGTCTGTTATCCGACCTTTACACTCGTGAAGTTATCCAAGAGCCACGTTACCAATAGATCACTGGATAATGATCATTACACTTGGTATTCAAGTGATTTGTTGCATAATTAGAAATCATCTCAAATCTATTTTTATCTTCCAGTTAAGCTTGAGGAAGGAACGCTTTATCTTAACGATTACATAACGACATGTAGCAGTGACCCATGAAGTTTGATTTTAATAAATATTGCAAGCAAACATCACACTATTCTAATTACATGACCTTTTCTTACTCTTAAATATCAGTTTTAAAATGCAATAAATACTTGCAAACCTTTCTCAATCTGGCTGCAGACTGGAGTTTGTGGGCTAGAAACACAGTGACTAGCCGTGATGATAAAGCGATGTGTTAGGCACATAGGAAGTGGAGATTTGAACACTGTGCTTCTGTTCAAACCTCCACGTCTGGATCTGAACCCAGGCCTTGTTTCTGCAAAGCGTCTTCCCTCTTCATCTTTGGCTTCTCGGTCCGTGTGTGCCACACCAGCACCTAAGCAACAGGGAGATCATTTCAGTCGAAGATGATGAAATGTTTAATCCAAACTCGATAGTGTCAGAGTTTACGATTTGAATGAGCGGATGTTTATTCAGAAATTTAGTTGGGTTTCAAAAACCACCGTAAAAGACCTCCATCTCTTGGTTGAAACCCAGTACTGCATCCTAATCCACCATAATCTGTGCAAAACATGAGATAAATTTAATCTAAGATTGAGGATTAACCAAGGGGAAACCTCTTGCTTTCCCTCTAGATGCGGAATAGGAAGTGACTAAACAGCAGTTCCCCGACCGGCCACTTGAGGCCACTCCACGTTTCTACCCCAGGCTCCATTTAGTTGACGTCGATCTCCAGATTAGACCTTCACGAACACTCGGGGTGAATTTGTTTAAGATTTAAAAGTTTGTTCATTTGTGAACATAAAACAATTCATAACATACATCTTTGTTGAAAATATTACCATCCCTGTACAGAACTTGTATTTTGGAGGCATTAACTTTTTTATTTTATTTTAATATATTTTCATTTATTTACTGTCGAACCTAAGTTTTACTGAAAGTGAGAAATGAATGTTGTTTCAAATATATGCCATGTCCACACATACCTTTTTTTTTTTTAAACCGTTTTTTTTCCTCACACAGTGTACAAAAAAAACGGTGTCTACACGTTTTAAAAAAAGCACAATCCCACAGATCCTCAAACACCCCTGAAATGCTGTAATGACTCTACCAAACCAACAGGTGGTAGTCGATTCAAGTTTTGAAAATTATTATTTAGTAATAAAATAGGAATTCGGCCGCCATTATTCTTGCTATTTGTAAACACAGCAGTGACAGAGCTTGAACGCCAAACTCAACCCATGAACGCGAAAAACTCTGGTTCCCTGTCCACACATAACATGGGTGTGTAACCGCGCATTCAGATGCGTTTTCTAAGTAAACGAGTATATATGGAAAGGGCCATAGTCTTCCTCAGGATGAAGATTTGCTTAGAATATGTGAACAACTGGTATATTCAAACAAACTGATTGATGCAAAGCGGCTGTGAGGAGGAGCTAGAGGCAACATCAGAGAGGAAGGGCTAGAGACCAATAGAGGGGAGGAGCTATAGAACATCAGAGATTAAGGTTTAGAGTAGGGGAGGGTTTAGGGGTGGAGTTAGTTAACTCCTCTCCTCAGTTGGTCAATAGCCCCTCACCTCTGGTGTTCTGTGAGGCTCCTCCTCTCCGACACTGCATCGTCGGTACGACCAAGAACACAACTGTACATGTGATGAGTGCCAAAAATTGGCTCTAATATCTAATTATACAACGATTGAACTGGAATGCATTAACTGGAGTGATTCTGGCTACATTTAGTTAAAAAAAAAAATATAATTTTCAAACCCTGACAAATGATGGATTTTTTACAGATTAATAACAAAATATTTCATGATGTACCTTTAAATTATGAACCATTTGGTATACGTTTTGGAAGGAACTTGAATAAATGTTTACTACGTAAAATTATTTTCCTTTAAGAAAACACTTTTTTTGTCTACAAATGAAATGTATCGTAGGAAATGTGTTCACTCTCTCATATTTTATTAAAAGCTTTGCAGGTGAATAGTCAACTCTTCAACCGCCATCTATGGCTGGGGTCACCAGGTTGGTTCCTAGAGGGACGGCATCAAGAGTTTAGCCCCAACTTGCCTCAGCACACCTGGAAGTTTCTAGAACCCCTACCAAGTCTTCAATTAGCTGCTTCAGGTTGCCTTTTATGAACCTGATGAACCCCTAATCCAGGGGTGCTCACACTTTTTCAGCTTGCGAGCTACTTTTAAAATGACCAAGTCAAAGTGATCTTCCCGCTACAAAAATGTAAAACATCAATCAACAAACAATTATTTTCAACTTTATTGAGAATTGACAAAACACACATAATAATTTATTATTTACATTTTTTGTAATAACCTGAGTTTAATTTGATGACTTGCACTGAATTGAATCATTAGAACAGTTGTGTGTGACCTGAATTTGGTGGTAATAGAGTGATTTTTATGGGAGCAATTGAGCTTTGATCCAAATAATCAAGAATAAAAATGATGCTCTAATAAATTTTTCATTTTTTTATTGAAACTGAGTCGTGCAGTACAATATGCAGGTGAGGAGTGGTGTGTTGCTTGATTTTGGTTGTAAAAGAGCAATTTAGAATGAAGTTATGAAGCATATTCTGGGTAAAACATATTTTGGATCTGGTAATTTGCAGACGGTCCCTAAGTGATTCCATGTCAGCGGGTTGCTCATAGACGGTAATGTGTTTCTGCGAATGCCGAGGGAAACTTGTTTTGATAAAAAACGTTTTGTAGTTTGTCCGCTACATAACACAGATTAAAAATAGGTATTATTTGTTTACTAAGAACATTCTGGTCTCGAGCTATTGATCAGAGAAAACCGAATCCGTGAATCTGCAGCTAACTTTACTGAACTGTGACGGGATGGATGATCGGCTGATATTGTTTCAATTTCACGCCGCGATCGACCGATGTAATGAGCACCCCTGCCCTAATCTATTGCACGAGAAAAATAATCTTAAAAAAACTGGAATGGACCAAAACAAGAGAGCTACCTTGGAGCAGAGGTCTGCTTTGGGTTCAAGGTCGTCGATGGTAACCAGGTGCTGAAGGAAACTGCTCTCCAGGAAGCCCATTTGAGCATTACCGTCAAACAGTGCTTCAGGATTGGTCAGCACAGACCTCAGAGACACAGCAAACCCAGCCATGTCCATAGCGAAGGGCCGATTGGGGCGCCACCCAGTGTGGAAGCGAACAACTTTGCCATCCTCCACCACTGGCCTCTCAAACTTCATCCCGCCCACCAAACCCACAGGCCACACCGAGACTCGATATGTGTAGCGCATCTGAGGAAATAAAAAGTTGTTCCTAATAAAGTGGCCAGTAAGCACAGTTTTGTTGTGTGTGTCAAGAGTCAAATAAACTCAATCCAATGACTTCAATATGATTTCATTTGGCTTTAAATCTTAAGTGGATTCCTACAGTTGTTTGCTTCCTAGTGAAACTCAGACAGAATCTTTCATCCGTTTTGCGACTAAAAACAGACATCTCACCTCTTCGAACAGCTGCAGGCTATACGTGTTATCATCATCAGCAAAGTACACCACCGCCTCC